AAAAAAAAAAAGTTTTACGAATGATGGGACGTATGTTACGAAGGAATAATTTTTTTTTCTTTTTCTTTTTTTTTTTTACAGTACTCGAATAAAAACAAATTCTTCAAAGTTGGACGTTCTTCTATTTGAATTTAATCGACTTTTCGAAAAGGGAAGGAGGAGGAGACAAGAGATGCACGTCTAATGCGCGTCGTATGCGCGTCCTACTACCAACTGTATCGAGATTCGCGCCCGTTGCATGAGATCTCTCCTTGCCAACGGATGCCATGGCGTTTACCTCTTATGGCGGGGATAAAGTGCGCGCGTGAGATACACACATTCACATATATATATATATATATATATATATATATATATATATATATATACACATATACATTTACGAGGCCACACGCGTTATGTTCTCATGTGAGAGGATATAGTCTCAACAAGCATAGTTGTCGTTGACTTCTTCTCGGATAGATCTCAACGTGCGAAACTCACATACACACACACACACAAATATCACCGGACCTTGAAACTTTCCTTCTGTCAACCCGTTTGCCAAGTTAAATACATTTTAAATGCACAATTTTGAACTCCTTATCGTAACAGGGTTAAACGTGGGAAAACAATTTTGTTAACACTAGATTTACGGATTGAACGAACTACAATTTGACTCATTTTCAAATTCTATACTATCTAATACTATCATTCGATGTTTTTCTTTGTTTTGATTATAAATTTTAAAATTAATGAATATTACATTTTTTCTAATTTTCTTACGGTTATCATTTGTCCCTTTTTACACACGTTTCAGTGCTTTTACTCTCTATATGTAAATCAAAACGTTACTTGCAATTCTAATAGTTACGTGTTCTTTAATGTCCCTTTCTTTTATTTTCTTTTCTTTTCTTTTCTTTTCTTTCTTTCTTTCTTTCTTTCTCACTATTCGCATTCACTTTGTTTTATCATTGCAAATGTATAAATAACAAAAAAAAAATACACACATTAACCGATCACCTACGTAAATAAGTAAGAAGGCATAGTTTTAATTGAAGTTAAACACAACGTTTCATTACAGCATATTATTATCTAATTTTGCTTATCAAACTATGCATTTCATTTATATCTCTTTTTTTCTTACGACGACAAATTTTATTTTATTAGTGTAATAAAAAATAAATAAAAAGACAATCTATAATCCTGTTTTATCAATCTTATACAATCTCTACAATCATGATCGCGCACGTGTGCGTCACGCTGCATCAGGTTAACGTCGCTTACGTATATATATATATATACGTTCTTATTGGCGTGTTCATCATTAGTCAACTAACGGTGTCCCTGAAAAACGCTCTTCCTCGTTAAGATGTGATTTTGCAAGACAACGATTCATATTTTCGCACGATCGTGACATTTCTTTACCGATTTATCGACAAATACATTTGAAGTGAAATAAAAAACAAGATAAAGGAAAAACAAGTCTTCGGAACAATCATAAATATTTCAAAGTAAGCAAACAAATGCTCGTTCAAAGGTGTAACCGAAGTTAATTCTATAGGTAACTGTATAATAAAACGTGTCCGGGTATTTGAAAGTGAAATGTGATTAAGTTGCAGTTAACATTCTCGAATAATCGCGAAACTTGGGGTTAGTTGAATCGGTGTACATAAATGCATCGAGTTATTCCGAATGAATAAAAATAATTTTCTAAGCCGGTATCTAGAATTTTTGTACGCGTAACTCGGAACCATATGCTCAATACACTTGGGACACAAAGAGAAAAAAAGAGAAAAAAAGAGAAAAAAAAGAAAGAGAAAGAAAGAGAGAGAGAGAGAGAGAGAGAGAGAGAGAAACAAATCGAATATCATCCGAAACGAGGTCGACACGCGATCGGATGTTGGAAAATTCGCATCCTCTTACCGGTCACTAATCACCGATCGTTCCGTACCGTACCCGTCCCGCCCGAACACACGCTTTTGCGCATAGCTTTCATTGTCTTTCCGCTGGAAATGACGTAGATCTTTCAACGTAGACAGCCAATCAATTAACACATTCCCTCACGAAACCAACGACGATGATTGTCTCTCTCTTCCTCACGATCTATCTTTGCAACCGATTAACCACGAAGGCCGTTATAATCTCATCAACAACTAACAAAACACATTATTTTAATCATCATATTTTTTATCCTACTTCAAACTTCTTATTTCTAACGTAAAATCCTTTTTCTGTTCATAAATCAGTTTGATTTTTCTTTTTTTAATATCGAGAAATATGGATATTGCATTTCTTCGAAAGAATCGCGAACACGTGGTTATTTAACGGCGTCTCTGGCAGATGTCGCTCGGTAATGTTAAATTTCCCGCCATTCCTTGATCTTTCTTGCACTATTTTTATTTTCTTTTTTTTTAATTATTTTTCCACTATTTCGTTATTATATTTTCTTACCTATAATATATTTTCGAAGAATGATTTACAATTGCAAATAGAAATAGAGTTGACACACAATGAATGAAACTTTTAGGCGCGCGTCGCCGCGTCGAAACGACGGCGACGACGACGACGACGACGACGAAACGTCGTGAAACTGCAAACACTTTTGTCAAGCGAGTGTAGATATAACTACTACTACTACGAGCAAATGTGTGCTCTATACAACGAGAGAAACCATGAGAGAGGAACGAGCCTGTTCAGTGACGTCAACCGGCACCTTTTACACCCGCTTTTATCCCTTCTCTTTTCAGTTTACTTATGTCAGTTCTTCTCTTTTCTTTTCTTTTCTTTTTTTCACTTCAATTCACTTCTCTTTTTGTCTCTCCTTTTCTCTTCTCTTCCACCTTTTTCTTCTTCTCCTCCTCGTCATCATCATCCTCATCCTTCTCCTTCCTCTTCTTTTTCTCCTTCTACCAACCACTTTGAGTTTCCTTCTCTTTCCCCTTCTCCTTCTCCTTCTCCTTCTCCTTTTCGTTTTAACTCATTAACTTGTGCCTTCGTGTCGAAGATTGCCGATCTATTTCGTACCGTGTTCTTTTCTATGAATTTGACGTATCAAAAAAGAAATCATCATAAAGTATGATTTTTTGCTTTCTTTATTTTTCAATTTAAAACATTTAAAACCCATGACGAATATATAAAACCGGTTTTTATTTTTGTAGAATTTACAGTTAAAAGTTTGATTTTAAGGATGATAATTAGAATTTTGTAATATTTTATTTTGAGTCTTATCTGACATTTTATTGTAAAAGATTTTTTGTCAATGACACAATTAATATAAAAAAAATCAATCGATTGTTCGTGACAATTTTGTTCTTAATGTCAAATACTACCCGCATTCGTGTGATGACACACTTTACGATAATAAATAATTTTATTGCTGATTGTATGTACAAAAATAAAATTTGAAAAACATAATGTTGACATTTCAACGAATATTTTGTATCATCGGACACGAACGCTTTCATTGACAAGAAATTTCTTTTGTTTATGTAGCAAAACACGTTAATCCGTAAATATTTGTCCGGAATCGGAAAGAAATTTCGTGTTCACATAATAATGTTTCACATTGAACTAACAAAGACGTAATATAAACAACACGAGTAAAATAGTTTTTGATTCTTTTTTCATAGTTGATGTTCAACAAAATAACATCGTCCATAGCTCACTTTCCAACCTTCCACGATCGAACAACTTCGTTTTTGTCCTTTCTAAATTCCTAAGCCGATCGAGTACTACTCACGAGAGATATGTGTCACTTGGTTGATCATCGCTTAGAATACTTCAAGATAGGTGAATTGGTTTTTTTTTTATTTTTTTTTTTTTTTTATAGACTCGCTTTCGTCGTTTTATTATCTATTGTTACAACCTCATACTCCTTTTACTTTTTCTTATTTTTATTTAATATTTAATTAGTATACGTTTAACATAATTGCTATTTTAATGCAATACAACAAAAATTGCATTGTTCTATTACTGTAATTTCTATTGTGTAATTAACTAAATAAAAAAATATATATTATGAATCACAAATCAGATGAAATGAGAAGTATGATTATAAATAATTAAAAATTAGATAATCATCGTTTTATATCTAAATAAAATTTCTTTCTTTTTTGTCTTTTTCTTCTTTTTCTATAGAAATAAATTGATCTGTTTTTATCTAATTATTTCTTTAATATGATAATTAAATAATGTAAATCTCTGCTTTAAAAAGGGGGACAATTTAATCATTAAAACAGATCAATGACGTCGATCAAAACGACGTTTTGTTTTTCTTTCCAACGCATAGTTTAATTTGACTCATTCAATTAAACGATCGGGATGATGATTCAGACGAGTAATTACCGATGTTACTACTCTCGATGCTAGTTGTCAAGAGAAGTGCACAAGATAATGTGCTACCATTTTACTCGCATTTACGAAAGCTAAATCGATTTACGAAGGTGAATACGCGCGTTACGTGAATAACTTTTTTTTTATTGCTTAATTTATTTTTGTTTATTTTTTTAATTATTCTAAAATAATTATGAAAGTGCTTTAACAATAAGTTAAAATTTAAAAAAAATTAGTTTTTTAGTTATTTTACATCATATTTTAGGATTTTGATATTGATAATTCTCTAAATGAATTTAATCGAATAATTTCATTTCTATGAGAACATATGAAAGTACGATTCACGAAAGAAAATAAAAAAGAAATAAAAAAGAAATAAAAGGGGGACAAAACAGAAAGTACGAACGAAAACGTAAAACCCAAGCAAGACCCATGTCATCTTAGAGTTCGTTTCTCTTAAAAGTCCCCTACGAAACGTCCGGTTTCCGGTTATTCCGGGTGTATTAGTCATAGACGTGCGAATAATTAACGAGTGGGACGAAATATACAACAAGTGTGAAAGAAGTTTTTCTATCCTTCTTCTTTAACGAACCATCTAATCGTTTCTACGAATATATTCATTATCTATAAGTTTAATTCGTCAACAAAATATTATTGCCTTGAAAATAATAATCGAATGTTATCGATTAAAGGATTATTATATTCGTTCGTGAATCATTACTATTGAGAAATGATAAAACGTCGATTTTTTATTATTCATCGTAGTATTTTATTCTTAGGATTTTTAGAGTGTTTCACTGAGGTGATGACAGTGTTCGGTATAACTTCGCTATCAGAGCGAGGACGAGCTTGGAGAACAAAAACCAAAACAAAAAAAAAAGATAAAGAGTAAGTTAAGTAATACGTTACGTTTGCTAAGCGATACGCTTAGGCTAGTTTCGTGATTCTCGAGTATCATCAACGACTCACCATTGTATTCTCACTAGAAACAATGTACGTTTCCGAGCTGTTTAAGATTACGAACAAAAATTGTTTAAAACATTACTTTAAGACTTTATTTTGTACAAATATTTTATCATCAACATATTTTGTCGAAATAATCAATGTTTATTAAAGAATACCCTTTGTGTGTGGTTACGCACGTTTCGGAGCAATAAAATCTATAATTCCCAGAGGGTAACCGTTGAGTAGTCGATGGAATTTCATTCTCCAAGGTTCGCAATTAGCATGACAATCGCGACGTTTACGGCCTCATTCTCGGAAGGTCGAGCTAAACCAGCTCGTGATTTCGAGGATCGTGAGATGAAATTTGACCTGAATTTCGTGGCCGTTCTTTGTTTAAAACCGAATTAGAAATATGTTCGAATATGATTGTTCTTTTGACATCAAAAAGTTATATGAAACTTGGGGATTAATAATATTCTATTACGAATGAAATCTTTATCATTATCATCACCATCATCATCATCATCATCATCATCATCATTTCAAAGTTATATAATTTCTCTTTAAATGAAAACAATAAAAACCCAAAATGAATCCTCTTGATCAGATCCAAAAAGTGTCCAAAACAGAAGATCCCTTAAGATTCTTACAATGTATTCAAACAAAACGGCAGACACAATTAATAGCTGAAAGTATAAAGTAAGGAAGAAAGAAAATAAGAAAATAGGTGTAGACCTTTTTTATATGCAAAATAGGTGTAACTTGATAAGCAGTTTATCACGTTTCGCGGGGTGTCCATTGACAAAGTCTCATTATCACATCTCGGTTGGACTCGGCTTGATTCGGTATGCTTCGTAATGCGCACGCTCTCCAGCTGCTGACAGATGATGATAGAAAACGAACTTGTAAAACTGAGTTGAGATGAGGTTGGGACAGGGACAGGGACAGGGACAGGGAAGGGAAGGCGAGAACTGCAAGCGTAGGTGGAGAAGCTGAGATTAAACAATTGACTGGCGCGATAACGAGGGCACTTCCCGCCACTAAACTCATCCTGTCGTGTCGTCTAACTTATCCACGACACTTCGTATTCATTTAAAACCACTACTACTCATCCTTTTGCCCTTCTCACACACACACACACACATACACACGCGTTATATATTATGTTATACACAGTATTCACTTATTGCATCATAACCCGCGTACTATCACGAATGATTCCCAACGAATCTAGTTCGCACCATGTTGACCCCGTTTCGGTTATAAATTTCAGTAATTTGGAATAACAATAAATGTTATTATCTTATTCATAATATATGTTCTAACAATGTTAACAATTGTTAACGATTTCTATTTGAACATTTTTTTTAATTTTATCTTTATTATAATTTATAATATTAACAAAATTACATAGGTTTGTGTAAAATTTATGTTTGAAAATAAAAATGGCGGAACAGTTTAAACACTCACGATGATTATGCGTCACTTGATTCTCAAGAAGATACTTTGAAAATACTTGTTTACCTGAATAAAATCATAGTTACGTAATTTTCTTTTCTTTCTTCTTTTTTTTCATGTAAATTAATCCCTGATTTATAAATCATTATAATCAAAAGGATACAAGCTTTGAAGGAAGTTTAGTGTAAGAAGGAAATTAGATAGCATGGAACGATTGCTAAATCTCTCCGTATGATGCCTTTTGTATTTCAGTTAGAAATAATTTATATGACGATTCCTGTATGGTTATTGTAAATTTAGATATTCTTAGATAGTAGAACAATTATGTGATAAGAAATATTACGCAATCTTGATACTCCCTCGTTTCCTGAGCTTTTATAATTAAACAAATTATGAGGAAGTCATTTATATTAGTAGGATTGTCAATTGTCAATTTGAAGATTAAAATAAGATGTGATTTTAAAATGAAAAGAAAAGCAATGATTTTTGGGTAAAAAAAATATTGTAAAAAAAAAAAGTTTTGATGATGGCTAGACACTAATTCATGCACCGTAAAAAACTGTATTTGAAGAATTTTTGAATCATCAAATTGATTTGTTATACTAGAAATGTTGATAAAAATAAAAATAAAAAAAAAGAGACGTTCAAATATTAAAATCCAAACTGGTTTAAGTATATTATCTATCCAACAAACCGGTCACACATAATCTAACAAATGATGTCATAATGACACTTACCTGAACACTAGACGTCTTCGCAAGCATTCAAGCGTTCCAAATGATGATTTGATTCCCTTGGATCTACGACGTATTCCAATCGTTCAGGAACACCCAACGACGTTGATATAGTTGGTATAGTTATTTCAACGCTTCTCGTATCATCTTCATTTTCCAATACGAAGCAAGTCTTTTTGTGCATTTCTTTCGATTTTTGACCATCGCACAAACTCGATCTCCTCGGCATGGCGTCGCGAAGTGATTCATGGGAGCCCTTAAATTTGCAGTGTCTGTTCAATCAAAATGATTTAATAATAATTATATATTTTGCTTTTAAAAATAATTTCATGGAGGGAGGATTTACAAAAGAGATATTACCTGGGATCCAAAGTTGACTTCGGGCATGTTTTTTTATTACGATTCTGACATTGATCGATGTTACATCTTGAAGAGGATCTTTTCATTCCATCTGTATTAATCCTCGATTCGCTTTTCCTTGAATCTAGCGTACTCTTCGAGCCTTCACGATGAATCTTCCTTTCATCCTTGTTATTGTGTTTTCTATTTTTTCTAAGTGTCGCATTAATATCTTCCAAGGCACGATTGTATTCCTCTTGTACTTTGGAATCCTCTGGATTAACGGAAGTAGCAGCACCACAAACGATCTCGTTATCGGTAGACTTCAAATCATTTTATTAGCATATAAGTCATTAAAATATTTTGTTCAAGGGGAGAGTGGAGAAAAAGGAAAATGTCAAGAAGAAGAAAAAACTTACCTCGTCGTGCGTATAAAATATTGGACGTTCAAGTAACACGCTGTTTACGCTTTCCCGTCTCAAGGTACCGTCAGGACCGGTGATCATAACCGGAATTGGAGTTGGTGGAGTCAACGGTGGTACATGCATGTGAAGACCACCGGCAGAAGAGGCCAAACTCGAACCGGAACTTGTTGTTAGAGAACTACTCGAGACGTCGTGATATGGAAATGCACCTGAACTCATGCGTTCTAAGACCACATAACGAAACAATAACTTTTTCAACTTTTCCTTCGATCAAATAAATCCTTTAAGAGATTTCATTTGAACTTATCTTCTTTTCAGTTCTTTTTTTTCAGCAATTTAAACAAGTACCACTAATGATCAAATGTCCGATTTTTATCAGTAAGACGATTGAAAATTAATTTGTTAACTTTTTATCATAAATAAGATAGCATCGTGATATTATTGACAATATAAGACACTTTTTAAAAAATCAATTTCATTTTCAAAAGAATAGCATCATTTAAATACGATTTTGACTTATCCAACTATCGGTAAAGTAGAAAACGTTGGAATCGTATGATAATATTGCGCCAAATGACAAACCTTTGAATGTTTTATTCTAATTCGTAAGACACGTGTTAAAATGAATTTTTCTAATTGTTTACTCACCTCCTTTAGCTTTATGTATTGCTCTTAATTGATCGAGATCTGCTGCTGAACATAATGGTGTATCAACCTCGTAAGTATTGTTAAAAAGACTATAATTGACTTCGTATTCACCGGTTTCTTTGCGAAACGTGATAATATGCTCGAAACGATGTCCCCAAAGAATTTCTGACGGTAGATAAGAGCTTCTTGCTTGTGTCGTCATTCCGGTTGACTCAATTACACCTATCAATCATCGTAGGTAAACAATTTTAAAATAAACATGTATATTTTTGGATTGGTTAATATTTCATTTGTTAATTCATACCTTCCAAAATAACAACTATCTCAAAACGTTCTCGAAGCATATCGCTGGCGGAAATACGATAAAGTGGCGAATGTTCGTCTATTTTGTGAACAATCGTTGTTGGCCATATAAAAAAGATTTTATCTTCCTCCCCGTCACCTCCTACTTTTAATTCCGTTTGAAAAAATGGTAGAAGTTCGCCCTCTCTCGTCACCTGTTAAATTTTATTTATTTATTATTTATTTTTGTATTTATCGTTTCTTTTAAATTATTTTCAGAAAAAGATTTCTTTAGCAGAAAATTACAAGCTTCTTTTTGATCAATTTGATGTATTTTTCTCGAATACATTTGAAATGTCATAAAGGTGTATTTACACACAGATACAAACGTTAAACGTTAAACGTTAAACGTTAAACGATAAAACATAAGATAAGAGAAAAGTTGTTTACCTTCCTTTTGATCATTTGTGCTCTCACGTGAGCCTCGATGATGTGACTCTTTCTCATGTCTCCAACTCGAAACATCAGACAGGATTGACCGTCCCTCTGACATATTACAGCGTTCCTCGAGAAAAGTAAAGTCTGGGTTCTTTTTTTCGGTCGAGATAATTTGGCAAATACTATACCGACCATAAAGGCTTGTAAAATCACTCCTGTCATCGATTGTATACACATGACAAATATTGCTTCTGGACATTCGTCTGTTGTGTGTTTCGAACCATACCTGTGTCAATCATAATGAACATAATCATAAAAGCAAATTAATAAAATGTTGTATTTGAAAATTTGAAAGAACAAAATAAAAATAGAAATAAGAATGATTGTATTTACCCAATCGTGTGCTGTGTCTCGACGGAAAAAAGGAAACAGCTGGTGAAACTATGTATATCTTCGACGCAAGGAGTAAATGTATAATTCGACGAATCATGTGGATCAAGGTCACCGTGACTATAAGCGATTAACCACCATATTAATGCAAAACCAAGCCAAGATAGTAAAAAGTTCATTGAAAATACGAGAAGTGTCCAGCGCCATTGAGCATCGACTAAAGTTGTGAAAATGTCCTGTAAACAAACGAACAAAATTACTAATAAAATACAAATAAAAATGAAATAAATTGTTATAGGAGAAATTTCGGATAAGATTATTCGATTGTTCTTTTATAGGGAAAAGAAAAAAAAAAAGAAAAAATATCACCTGCAAATAACGACGACGACGTTTAGCGACGTTTCCTTGTACGACGTTGCAATCTCCGTGCTTGAACACCACTCTCTTCCGTACTCTTCTTGAACTGAATCTTGTTTGACGATATCTTTTTTTTTTGGGAAAGAACATAAACAAAAAAAATAAATAAATTTATATATTATAGTCATGGATACTGAAGTTAATTGTAAACCACTGTTAAAAAAGACAAAAAAAAAGTAAAATATTATGTAATATATCTTTAATGAAACATTTTTAATTGCATTAACTCATTCTATTCGTTTGTAAAATAAAAAATTAATACGAATTAAAATCTCGCTCTTACGAGAAGGTATCAACATAGTTTATGATTTTTTTTTTTTAAGATTACTCTTAAAAGTAGGATTTAACGGTGTATAAAATTTAATGATCAAAATCCGTTACAATCCCTAGAATAAATATCTTTGAAATATACAGGTGTTACTATCATCTAAATTAAAATAATCTACACTGCATCTCGTTCCACATATTATCTGTTCTGTTTCATTAAACTTACTTAAATAAATAAATAAATAATTCCAGTGTGCTTAATGTACACACTCGTAAAAACGTTTTATATTCGTATAAACGAACGCATTGCTATTTACTTCAAAAATCTAAAAGCTACAGTTCATTTCTATTTCCATAATTTTGATAGTCCTAGGAATTCGTAAACGTAAAACGAACTATTATTATTATTTATCGAAAACTTTATAAGTGACGATAATTATGGAAGTGGTTTAACTATGGAGGGTAGAGGTAAGGAATATCATCTCATATGCGAGAAAATTTGAAAAAGTGTCCAGCGTATGCTGTAAATAACAGTTCAAAAACCTTCCAGAATGGCGCTGGTGTAGACAAAGGGTATGGTATAAACCATACCCTTTATATAACCTTAAAGAATTATTATAAAAAAATGTGTGATGAATAGAGTGATTTTATTCCGTGAACTTGTATAGTACGTTTATTGATTTTTTTATCATTTAATTTTATGAAAAAGTATGTGAATAACAAAACAGTTATGGGTACAATTTGTGTTGTGAAATTTGTGTTCCTTGTTTATTTCTCAATCCTACTCTTATAATATTTGGCGCTTCCTTTAAAATTTACCCTGATGCTAATGTGGCGCCACCCAAATTTAATGCATTTCGACGGACACTTTTCATATATACAGATGATACTTCTTACCTCTACCCTCCATAGGTTTAAGGCCGGCGATACATGTAAAATAAAAAAAAAATCGAATTGGTTTTTTTCATAAATAATTAGTTTACTATCTTAAAAATATGCCTGTAAATTTTTAGAATGAAATTCGCATTATTTATCGATTAAAAATTCATTTAAGTGCTCCGCGTCAACTCGGCGCTAACGCGAACGTTAAACTTTGAACGCGTTTTTCTCGAAACGACTTTTTTCAAACTGTGGTGAAAGATAACTCAAAAAGGTTTCAACTGATTCTTATGACATTTAGCACACATTTTCTTTATAGTATTAGCTTCTAGTTGAACTTTAAGAATGCCACAAAAATGTTCAAAAATTGCCATTTTTGACCCAAAAACCGTTAAAAAAAGGGTCAAAAATCAGACTTTTTTGTCTGAATCGTGCCAATTTACGATTTTTTGACTTTTTAGTTTTTCCTTGGTTCAACTAGAAGATACATGTTTTATGAACACGCTCCGACCCTTTTCTTTAATTTTAGATTGCTGTAACTAAAGCTAAAAATCACCATGATTGATGCGTTTCGCCGCGAAAGCCTCAGGAGATTAGTTACTACGGCGGCCATTTTGAAAAAAAATCAGATTCTTATATTTTCATATGTAATGAGTAAACATGCTGAGTTTCAAAACGATTCATTTATTCCTTCCATTTTAAATAAACCTCTGAAAAACGATCAAAATTTAAGCGTTTACATGTATCGCCGGCCTTAACGTACTTACATGAAAAAAAAATGATTTTATCGTAAAACGAAGAAAAGAAAGCATAGTGTAAAAATAATGATATCATTGAAAATAAATGAAGTTCTAATTAATTGGTAGGTCTAGGCCATGCCTAGGCGCCATCGCAAGGGACAAAATTGTTTTTAAAAGGGCAACTTGCCAGTTTAATCGTCATTGAAACGAATCACGTAATTCTTTTTATTCCTAATGCTAGAAGGATTTATTAAATGACCGTAAAAAAAAGAAAAAGAAAATGAAAACATAAAATTAATGTACATTTTCGTATTGTGGCGAGTAATGGGTGATATGAAGGATCGGTTCGAGATGGATAATGTAATAAAAGTAACGTTACCTTCGATATGGATCAAGGTAACACCGATATAATAATATAATAGATTAAAGTTAGGATTGAAATTTGTCGATATGAAAGTGGCATCCATCGGTCGAAGGTCAATCCACTGTTTTAACGTCCTTTCGATCTCGTCGTTTCAATCGTCTTATTTATAAATAGATTTTGAGCATCGTTATAAATAGTTTAGTCGCGTCTCCGTGTCTCAGTTAAATTTGTTGGAAATAATAAAATAAGCAGCCAAGAAAGAGTATCTTTTCAAAGAGAAACAGAAAGAAAGAGAAAGAAAATGGTTAGTCTACGTAGTTTTTGAGACTATTCGAGTCTAGACGATCGAGATCAACGAAACGACGTTTGTTTACGAAAGAAACAGAATCTTGGTACCATATCTTACATCAAAGGACTATTCGAGTCATCATCATCATCATCTTCATCATCATCATCTTTCTTGGCTTTTGCTCTCTTTGAACTCTTTTCTCCTTGAAAATGATGTTTTGTAAAAATAATTTCCCCTTCTTTCTTTTTCTTCTTTTTTTTTTTTTCATTTACTTATAGGCATAAGAAAAGTTAAAATTTAAACGCGTTTCGTGTCTGGTCATCATCTTTTTTGGCAAACGACGAGTCCGTGAAATTTGCATCTGTTCGGTACGTAATTTCATTTCATTATCAGGAGAATAAATTTAGGACATTTTAAGAATAACCAAATTTTCATTTAATATCATAATAATATAAGATATGAAAAAAAGCTTTGTGAAATGTTAAGAATATGAACGAAAATAATTCAATACGTTCAATTGAAATTTTCTAATCATTCAATTTCGACAGATCTATTTACCAATGAAATTATAATGAATCGTGAACGATCCGTTTAAGTGATTTTTTTTTCAGTGTACACGAGAACTCTTAAATTAAGTTAAATCAAAATTGTTGTTAAAGAAATGATTCTCTTGGAAGAGTTTTCGAGTGAATGAGAGTAAGAGATAGAGAGAGAGAGAGAGAGAGAGAGAGAAAGATATTCATCATTGTTTCGTTTTATCTTCATCGAGACGAATCGTGTCTGTCTGGACGAGACAAGAAATCGTCTCGGTGATTATGATAACCGGTGGCAATAAACCTAATGATATAAACCGTCGGGCGAGATTGTAACTCTGCTCGATCTTCTCTTTGGTCTACATTTAAACGGATGTTCAAATTCGCAGCTTTTTTACATTTTTCTTTCTTCATTCCTTTGAATCAATGATTTGTTTGTATTTTTTTTTCTTTTTTAATTTATGTCATTTCTTATCTTATAATTCAAAAGATATTACGCAATAGAAAATACTTTAATCTCAAATTTACGTATAACGTGTCAGTGCAAAATTAGACGAATCAATTTTATGCACGTGTTTCTGTCTATAATTTGAACAAAAACCCCGAAAAATAGTGTGATCCCGTGATAAACAAATAAATCCAATTGGTAGAATACGATTTTCTTTATCTATGAGACACTATTATACGTTTTCTTTGTTATTTTTGTATTTTTTGTTCGCTTTTTTTATTTCCCCCTCGAGAAAATTTCGACTATAAATATCCGCTAAAAGGCCGTCGTCATACGTCCAGCGGATATTAATACAAAATGTTATTCTAATATTTTGATTTATTTCAAGAACCATTTTGTATTTATACTCGATTTTCTTTTTTTTTTGTTCACTTTGATAATTTTATCGCATCGCAAATAAAAATTAAAAGAAGAAATGAAAAATAATCAGATATCGAAATAAAATCATAATAATAATAATTGAGATTGGAGATTTCGCGTACTTAAGCAATTCTTCTCGCCATGCGGCTTCACCGGAAGTCGTAGCTTTAACGACGAGCATCGATACTTGGGACAATGCTCTGCGCAAACCGGAGAATGCAGTTCCTCCATCACCAAGGTGGTGTAATTTTCCTCCAACCGATGCACTAGTTGAAATTGACGTTGCCATGTTTATCCTTCTTTCTTATTCTCTTTCTTATCATCAATTTTTTACAAACTTCTGTCGTCGTGTCTCTCTTTTATATTCTTAAAGATGATCCTTTTAGTTTCTCTTTTCGCCAAAAAATAATGAATGTTAGCGAAATACAATAACGGACAGTAAGAAAAATATCCTAAATTAATTAAATAAATAAATAAATAAATAAATACTTCAAAAAAAAAAAAAGAAAAAAATGTCTCGTAGAAATTAAAAAAAAAATATAAGAAAAATGTAAAAAAAAATTATGGCCAAATAGGAAAGAAAAGAAAAAAAATCTTAAATCATTTCTTTCTGTCACGTAGAGAATGTCGATCTGTTGAACTTTTTAGCATGCATATACAGTAAGTATTAGTATCTCCCCGTCCGATTTTCGATAGAACGCGTGCAGTGTTGATGTGTGCGTGCGTGTTTCGTCTAAAATTAAATTTTATTCAAGATGGCCGTGCTGCCGAAGAGCATTTTACTTTAAGGACAAGTCTAACCGAAAGTTCAGCTGTCTTAAAGACTCTTCTTCTTCTTCTTCTTCTTCTTCTTCACTCTTCTGAGGTAGCCAATCAGTAGGTTTCATCGTTAAAGCCAAACGTCGCAACCAGTCCACAACCAAAGAAATATCCAAATCAATCGTTTGCACCACATTCGGCTTTCCGATCTCAAACGATCGAATTTTTCTCGATCGTTTCTTCTCCCACTTTTTTCTCGTGTCTTCTTCTTCCTCCTCCACCATTCACCCTTTTACATTCAACCACCGTAACCCCTCCACCTCTTTTATTCACACGTTAAACTCTTCCTGAGTTTCTCACTTTACCCATTTCTACTTCCTTCACACACCACACACTTCACTTTTCTCTTTTTCTATTCTCTTTTTTTTTTTTTTTGGCTAACGTCCACTTCACTTTTAACCGTGTTCTTTGAATTCTATAATATTTGATCTCACTTTTAATCCTACGTATTATGTATATTGTTATAATATATTATTGTACCATTATCATTTTCTATTTGTAAACATTTAAATCTCACGAAAATGCGAAACAGATTCATTTGTTATTTGACGCTACGATTTTTAGATCTTATATCATGTTCATTTATTGAAATTTACTAAATTTTATTGTAATTATATTATATTCGTTTACATATCATGTTCATTTATTTAAATGAACTAAATTTGATTGTAATTATATACATGTAATAACACACTTCGTAAGACTTTACAATGAAACATTATTATCGCGGTTTGAGGGGGGAGGGTCGTACCGTGGTTTCATAGACGAAATTTTCTAACGAGATGCACGGAGCTAATTAAATTCGTTGATTAACGAACAAGAGCTCGTCTAGTACTGCGCGATCAAATTTCTAGTAGTTGGCTAGTCAAAACGATTTTCGTCGTTCTTCGTGTCGTTCTTCGTGTCGTTCTTCTATGCATCGACTTGGCACTACTTAAGGCCAGTGAAATACACGCTGGATGATGTCGTATTATACTTACACACTATATACACACACAACTATCTTATTAGAATAATTGGATCTTTCGACAAAACAATAAAACGAATATAATCCAAAATTTGGGATAAAATTAGCTAGAAAAAAACGTGTCTTGGTAAAATATGACTCGTTAAAACACCTGTTCGAAATGATAGCACGAATCTACGTCATTATTCAAAATATACATTCTTTATGGAATAGGATTTCTGCGTCATATTTTAAATTTCATTTTGTTCAGGTGGTGAACAAAAAAATTCCAAAAGAATATAAATTCAAATTAAATTTATGCGTTAGGGTAAATTTAAAAAAAGAAACAAAATGTTGAAGATAGAAAAGCGTAGTTTCGAGATTAATGTAATCGAATGATATTTTTAAAATTAATTTCCTATATTCGTATTTTACGAAACGTTTCTAATAATATTCATTTCGTTGGGATTATATTTTACTGTAATGAACAATGAGAGACAAAGGATCTTAAACGGTCGTATTTCATTTAAACATAAGACTTTTCTCTCGCGTGAAATCTTTGGCGATTTGGCACTGGCTCGTTAACAAACGATACGAATAATTTTCGTGGACGAGTTTTGTTTGACATGTCGAAAATTCTTTTTTTTAGAATAAAGATTTATTTAGTAAGAAAAAAAAGTATCGTCTAAATAAAAAACACACTATGAAAGTGTTTTTCCAGACGGGATTCCCTAATATTATTTGGCCTGCCACGATTTCCGCAATTAGAGACTTCTATTCTCGTCAAGCAAAAGAAAGACTTCCGACGTGGATGGTAGGGAAATGGGAACATCGCGATGCTATTTTCGCGGAGTTCATAAAACGCATTGTGATCTAGATCTTTCAACACCGATTAAGTATTTTTGAACTTATCGACGAAAATTCAACAAATTCGGTACCACCGAGACAATGTTTTCTCTCTCTCTCTCTCTCTCTCTCTCTCTCTCTCTCTCTCTCCCAATCATCGGTTTTTCGATCAGTCAATGATGATAATGCAATAAATATTAATTACAAGTTCAGTCAAAATTGAATATTATACTCCAATGATATATTAAGTCGTGAAATAATGAGGACGTAAATAAAAAACAAACAAAAGAAAAATGCATAATGCACGTAAGTGATTGAAGTCTTCGATGAATTCAGATACATTCGATAATATTTTTTGATTTTATTAATAATCATGAATTTCAAAAATTGAACGGAACTTTTACACACGCAATAAACCTTAAATTAATCTACTTCATTTCAATTCTTATCGTTACGGAAATTATTTATCAATGACCATGATGATGAACTAACAATATTTTTGTCTTTTTTAGTTTTTATTACTCCTCGTTGCGATAACGATGAATGTCAAGCGAATACAAGGATGTTTTCTACATTTTTTTTTTTAATTTCATATTATAATATATAATTTTTTTTGTATTCTTTTTTTTATGTAATAATGGGTTTATCCTATCAATAAAATAATAATTACTTTCTGATAAAATTAAATACTTTGTAGGAATTAACATTGAACACGATAATATTAAAATTGATGTAAAATAAAATAATAAGAATAAATAAAATACGATAAATAAACAGGAAACGTTTTATCAGATTAATATGTTTTTTTTTTTTTTTCATGATAATAATGTGGTTGTTACTACAAAAATGTTCACTCATATTTCCTGCTAGTACTTACATTTTAAAATGATGGTATGGAATGTACCAAATCTTCATTTTTCGTCGTGAGACGACTTATGATGGAATGTGAACAGTATGAAGGTATTTAACTTACTACTTTACTTAACTCATTATACAGTAGTTATAAAAATGTATTACGATAACATCTAATAATTCTAAATGTTTCCTATTTATTTCCTTTTTTTTTGTTCCTATTTTTGTTTTTTTTCCTTTTCTTTCTTTCTTTTTCTTCCAGTCACGGTCATATAATATATTATGTGACCATTGTGATAATTGGAAGTTAAGGTCAAGTTTTTTAAAGATAACTTTAATACTTTAAATCATAAAATACCATAATTATTTGACTTAATTCGACATATTGATAAAACAAAATAAAACTATAAATTTCTGGCTAATATCCGGAAATGTTTAATAATTATGACAATAAATTTATCTTACTTTATTATTTTATTATATTATTATATTTACTATATATTATTACAATTATTTATATCTAAACTTATAAAACAAAATTATAAAGAAACTTCACAATTTTTGACTATTATTAAAAGCAATCATTATAAAAGATTATAGAATAAAATAGAACCGTTTGGAAAACTATTTTTTGATAAATATTTTCAAAACGATAAAACTAAAAATAATCCAATTACAAAAAGTCTTGTACCAACCTTGTTAAAAGAGGTCCAGATTCACCTCTGAAGCTGATCCTGTTGAAAGCTCTTCTTTGAAAATTACCAAGAAGACTACGTTTCTCTCTCGACGAATGGTGTCTTCCGGTTTCTTCGAGGCAAGATTCTTCAATGGTCTCGCGACCATCTCCACAGGGTCTCAAAAATTCGGATAAATTCAAATCGTTCGCTTGACCTGTATTAATATCAATCGTTGAATTTTTGTCTGATTCTTCGTTCGCGTTTCTCTTTGTTGCAAGCCTTTCGATTGTCGGCATTTCGTGATCCTCTCAATCCTCCATCTTCCTTTCTTTCTCTTTCTTCCTTTCTTTCTCTCCCTTTTTTATTTTTAATTTTTTTCCCTCAGTTCACTTGCTTATAATATCTAACATTATTTTCAATATTTTTCATATTCACTCATAATACTCGTTTTGTTCAATTATTTATTTATCTATTTATTTATTTATTTGTACACTTTGTTCTTTTGTTCATTATAATTATGAACACATTAGAATATCTATTAGTTATCTATTTAAAATCTATTTATCTTTACCTAACTGTATATTTTAATAATCAACTACACCAACTATGAAACGTCCATCGTTCACCATGTTCAACACTCTCCTCGTTCTTCATTTTTTTAAATGTTGTGTTTGTTCTTCTTCTTTTTTATTCGATCACAATAATCTAACACACCCTTGAACAATATATTTTTTGATAAGAATCAATAATCACGCATATGTCAACGTCACTAAAGATTCTTCAAATATATTCTATTGATTTTTCTCTTATCATTTAACATTTTTTTGTGTATAAATTGATTAGAAAATTTGTTCGAAAGTTGACAAAAAATAATCTCACAATTATTTGATATTTAATAAAATTATATTCAATAATTCTAATATTTGATTGTTACAATAGAATGCATCGATCAAAATCAACAAGAAAAATGTAATCTTCGTAAATTCGTCGTGGGTTTATCGTTTATTGTTAAATTGAAGGAACGGAAAAAAATGGCGCCCGCGCGCAATTAAAAACTACTAAAGCACGAAATGGTCAAAAGTGAGATCATTTGAATAGAAAAAAAAAAGAAAAAAAGCAAGAATGGTTTAAAAAGATAAGAAAATTGATAGATATACAATAAACACTTTTGAAAAGTATAACTAAAAGTAATAGCAACGAAGTAAAGACTAAAAACTAAAAGGCGGTTCAACGCTCTTATAGGAAGATAAGTTAAGACTTTATCTTACTCTCGGATCAGTATCGCGAAAAGTAACCGCTACTTCCGTTCATCCTTCTTTTATTCACTTATTTCTTTTCAAATTGTTTTTCTCTACGCACTATTGACTTCGATCTATCCAAAGATATTTCCTACTACACACATTCCGCTAGAACGCAAGAAAGGAGAAAAAAAATACAGAAAATAAAAAAAGCAACAACAGCACCATATTACCTTTTCACATTTGCTTTATAAAGTCATTCCTAATACTACTACATAAGTATTAATAAGTATGAACGTTGCAAAATAATAACGTTGCGTTTGTTCTCTTCTTATATTTTGTTCTCTCTCTGTGGATGTAATGTTTTATTATTTTTTTTTTCCGAAAGTCACGTTCCGTCACCGATTTCGCGTCATGACGCGCCGAGATTCATAATCACGCGGCATATATACTTAATTATAACAAATATAGTCAATCTATTCAGTTACATATGTCGTCTATGTCGTCTATGTCTATGTCTATGTCGTCGTTGTCTTTGTCGCAGTATAAGAAAAAGCAACGTAGGGACGCGACGACGAAGAAAAGTTGTTCATGCTTCTAGAACACGCGAATACGTAAGTAAGTGCGTGGACTCTTTAGATACGTGTGTACCGGCAAAAGCGAAAATAATCCTCTTTCTCTCTCTCTTTCTCTTATTATGCTCGTATGTTTTCCTTCTTTCTACGGGCGCGTGTCGCTATCCTACCGCTTTCGTAAACGTTCGTACGTGTTCGTTCACACTCGGTCGCGGTTCGGTACGCGTGCGTACATGCGGTGCGTACACCCACACGTAAACAGCGGGGGGGGGGGAGATCAGTCAAGCTTTTATCGTCAACCACGTGGGTTGTTGAATCTTTTCACATTTTTTTTTATTTTTTTTTTTTTACAAGTTATCTAATAATCCCCGTCCTTTTACTCGATCAACTTGTATTTTGTTTTTCTTCTTTTTTATATCCGTTTATACATTCTCCATTACCATACGCGTATTTTTTTTCATTCAACGTCGTTTAACTCGGCGAAACCTAATGAACTTTTTTTAATCCTGTTCTCCTTTCCATCTTGATACTACTGGATTCCTCTAACGGTATTCGTAAATGACTTTTTGCATTGGTTAACTAAGCAATCGTAGACTTAAATACACATGTGTATATATATATATATGTATATAGTATATATATATATACTTGAATATTTATCTATTACTCATTAAAGATATTTTTTTAACGATGTATAACTGTTCTTTACGCTTTTTCTTTTCTACACGTTAATATTTGAAAATTGTTTATACAGTTTATTTTATTTATGTTTCGTTTTAATTTATATTAACTTCTTTTTTTATTTTCCATCCTCGTATTATATTTTTTAACAAAATATGTAAAACACTCTCTCGTGTTGAAAGTTTTACGACTATTCTTCACACACTCTATATTTTATATCTTTAAAATTAACAAAGTGATAAAGTATACCAAAATAATGTTCTTTAAATTAGCTAAACGTACGATACAGAAAATACGTTCTCATTACTACTGACATGAACGACACACAAATAGCTTTATATACATTCATACAACATGAATGGAAATATAACTAGTTTAACGTTCCTACTCTTACTACGATCGAGAACGCCATCGATACAAAAAAAGAAAAGTAACATTTAAATATGAACAACAAAATTGATTTAGAAAATCTCTATCATTTTTTTTATTTGAAAATAATTAAACTCGTAGGATAAAATTTCACGCAATCTTATTGTTTATAACATTCATACTTTGAATTTTTTAAACGTTCACAATATAATTTTGTATATCGTTCATTTATTTCTAATATCAATTTTGAATTTTCGATTTTTGGTTTATATCGATAATTTTCTTTTCCATCGGAGCTCGTTCAAATAGCTTTCAAAATGTAATGCTAGATGGCACGTTATATAAGTTCCAACAAGTAACAAAATATAATATTTGTTTTCTACGTCGAAATTTTTACTAAACATTTGTAATAAATTAACTTAAACAAATAAATTCATTAACATCAAACGAAAGACAGGAATGGTATTGATACGAAGTATAAAAATATAACTCTTCTCTTCTATTTAATTTAAGATCTAAATAAGACAATGTATGTACAAATTTTTCAACTATGAATTTTTATAATTAATTAACTACTATTTTATTAAATTCCTACATCTTAATTCCATAGAAAGAAACGCTTTCATATTTGGATCTTGAATTTTTTCCAATATTTCTTTTTGTACATCAACGTTACTAACTTGAAGCTTCCTAGTCAATTTTTCTGCGTATTGAATCCAAACGCAATTAGTACAACCAGACATGCAACAATTGGTAGGTTCTGTGAGTTCCTCTAAAGAGAGAGAATCATCATCAGTTTTTTCTTGATCTTCAGTTTTTTCATTACACGTCTTTGTACTTTGGTTATCGCTAGAACATAGTCTCAAAGTCATGAGTACGCCCTTCCAATTATTATACAGTGGTTTTTTGACAGAATGAACTTTCCAACGAACCAGATTCATATTCGTTTAGGTTAGAAGACCATCTAAGTGATTGTTTTTATATTAAATATAACATTGATTTGTTTTTTGATTTATTTCATTTCTATTTATTCTCTACAAATATATACTTAGAAAAGAAGATGGAGAAAATGTTAATTAAAGGAAGAGCAGTTCTTTTATAGAATCACAGTACTTTCGCTTTTTTTTCTCTCGTCATAAACAATAATGAACAAGTAGACACCTGTAATGTCATTAAGTGAGAAAAATCAGTTTAGTCTTGGAGAGCCATCTGGTGTGATTTACTTAATATATACATTTTCAAAATTAATTTCTTACAAAACACATTTTAACAATATTATATCATTGTGATTAAAAATATTTTGCATTAATTTATATTTTTACATTATTCAGAAATAAATCTTAACAGATAACCTAAAATTTTATTACAATTTATATTTGTGTGTTTACATGTTTATATTAGGATTAGATTGTAATATTATCCACGTGGGTTTACTTATATCGGAGATCATTATTATTTAGAGAAAATATTGAATAAATATTATTTCTAACAATGGGTCGTAAAATTCCTGGGAAGAAACATCGTGGCATTAAAGATCCAGAGAAACAACGTGCTAGACGATTAGCCGAGTGAGTTAGCTTTCCAATAAATCATCTGTTGCATTTACTTCTAGGATGTTTTTAAAGGTTAGAAACTTTGTTGTGTTGATGATGTATGAATTTGTAGGTTAGAAACGAAAATAAATGCACCGCCGAAGGATGTCCGGGAACAAGCGATACCGAAAAGTTTGGAAAAAGTTATTAGACTTAAGGAAGCTGTTAAATCAGGTAGAATAAGTAAAGTGAAGAAATCGAGGAAAAAGAAGAAAAATAAATTGATATGCGTGGGTGGCGAGCAACCAAAATCGGTGCATCCTAAATCAAAACCGGAAAAAGCGGTTCCAATATTTCAACAAAAACCTGGAGAAAGTAACAACAAATTTTTTTATCGCGTTAGTCAAGAAACTCATGCGTTTATCAATGAAACTGCCTTCGAGAAAAAGTTCAATGTCCTTGTAAATAGAAATACTGAGACCGGTGAGATTGAAGGTTTATCCAAACAGCCTAAAGATGAGTTGGACGAGTTAGAAAAGTTAAGAGCAAAACATAAAAATATTAAAAAGAAGAAGAAAGTTAAAGAAGGGGAAGGTGATATGAATCTTACCAAATCTCAAAAGAGAAGGCAGAAGTTACAGATTAAGAAGAAAAAAAAGGAGGAAGATTTGATAGACAATTTTGAAACTTTTCAAGATGAAGTTCAATTTGGAGAAACTGTGCATGCACCTCCTGTATTAACTACAAAACCGAGAAAAGCTATGGTGACAGATGAGGATGGCAGTGTCAAGGTATTCTTATTATTTTCATTTCAATTTATTCTATAAATATATTTCTATATTCCAATGGAAGTATTGCTGAATTTTGTAATGTTATCTTTTGAAATTTTTCTCCAATAGCCAGGAAAGAGAAATTTGCTTCTAAATTCATTATTCACAAAGAACGATTCATCCAATAATAATTCCACAAAATCAATCACCATTGACAGATCTGGTAAACGTAAAAATCTACCAGCTAGCGAAAGGAGACAACTAGAAAAAGAACAAAGTAGTGTAATTGCAGCATACAGACAGTTGAAAGCTAAACGATCTGCTGATGTTGATACTTAGGGTATGTATTTAAATATATATATTAACAAAAAAATACATAAATGATTCAAAATTTATTTATCCTTTGTTTTATTTTTTAACACTTATATATACATATATATACATAGACACATTTTTGTAATGATATCTCTAACAATTTGTTAAGAAGTCATAAGGAGAGTGATTCTTTTCGTTCTTCTAAATAAATTAGATCTCCTAGTATTCTATTATTTTTAATATATGTGTATATTCCATATTATTTAAAAAAAATCTAATTATATTCTCTAAATCTCTTTGTATTTGTTTTTTCTTTTCTGGTAGTTATTAGAATTCACATGAAAATAGAAGTATAATACAAATCCCTGTTTTTGTTGTTTTTCAAAATTAAGTGCATTATATACAATATACATCGGTGTAAATGTTAGAAATCTATGTGATTAAATACAATGTGTAGGTAGACCTTGTCATCCTAAGTATTTCAACGATTCACAATTTGTTATAATTATAAATTATATTTAATCTACTCCAATCTAGTTCCCAATAGGAAATTGGTTTATAGATAGAGGATAAAACTATGTAGGCATTTCTAAAAATGTAAATCTTTGTACGTCATGCAACAAGTTAAAAAGAATATTTGTTGAGCTATTAAATTTGATTATCGGTATATTTGTGTTTATCCCGTCGTCCATACAAATGGTTCTAATCTGTCTTCGATTGGTAAAAAGTTATTAAGCGTTTCAAGACTTTCCAAAGTCTGATTAAGAAGAGAATGACATTTGGTCAATTGTCTGCTAAGTTCGTGTACTTTGTTTAATTGTTCCGCAAATTTGGCAAATTTTTTTTGTCTTTCTACAACCAAACCCAAAATTCTATTAACCTCGGCTTCAAGATTAATGCATAGAGCTGCTTGTTCTCCAGCTATCATCTGCGCATTAGTATTAAGATGATGTTGATATCGGGCGCATACATTGAACAATCCAATGGGATCTAATCTTTCGAGAACTTCAGGATCTCTTACTCCTGGTGGTAGATTCAAAGTCCCACGCATTATTGGTAGAAACATGGGAATACTTTGTAATTTGACTAGATCTGGATCTTTTTCGGTGCTAGGATCCGATGCAGCTGGCTTTACCACGACAATATTGTGAAGTTTGTCGGACAATGGTTTTCTATGACTGTTAAATGAAAGAAGCATTTCATAAATGATAGTTTTAATGATAAGTTTTCAATAATTATTATATACATATATAATAATTATATATGTACATACCTATGACTACTCAAACTGTTTCTCCTCCTTGATATATCCTGTGCACCTAAACTTTTTCCTCTGTACAATTGTAATTGTTTGTTGCTCATTTTTGGAGAATCACCAATAGGTCTATTTACAGTGTAAGATATATATGGTAAATCCGAGTCGGAACATATGCTTGCACCAGGGCTTGTACATCTTGGTGGAGTATCTTCCGGTACTCTTTCACTATTTGGAACACTTTTACCACGACGAAGTTGTCCTGCTCTTGCTCTGTTGTTACTGGTATTTTGAGTACCACTCTGCGAACTTTGTTCAGAACCCATTTTGCAAGTACGTAGTTATTCTTTTTTCTATATCGTTATAGAAATCACTATTTTTCTTTCTAATATTTTGACTATCGACAATAACTTATTTTCTCATACAATTAATAAATATATTTACGTTGACACTTAATAAAACGTAGTTAAAGACATTGCTCCGTTTTTTTTTGTTCTATCGTACGATTAATGAACGTTAAAACAATTGTTGTCACGTCCAATACGAAGTCGTCATATCATAAATTATTTTTACGTGCATTGGTTTAACATAAATTTGTTTCAAGTTACACATTATGATACAAGATCATAGTACCATCCGGTGTACCGGTCGAAAATCATATCAATTGCATACAAAATTACATTTAATCAATAATAGGAAAATACGCAAGCGTTTTGACACATATTCTAATACGGTTAATGTTATTTAATCGTCATACTCCCTTTGTTATTATTTTTATTTTTTAACTTTGTAATATATGTGTACAATTATTTTTCGTAATTATTATTTTCTTCACAATTGCTACTGTCAAATAATTTATCTATTCACCATAGACTGTCTTCTCTTCTTGAAACATTACAACTATTACTGCAATGTTCTTACAAAGTGCAGTGACATCTGTCGTAGAATATTTTCACCATCTTTCTAGAGATCTTCTTTATCTTTAATCGGAAATAATAAAATTATTTTTTTTGTTTTAAATTTTAAAATTAGAAAAATTATGAAATTCTCTAAATAAAAATAATCTTTAATTATATAATCTTATATTTAATAATTAATAAGTTATATTTACAATGAATATATACGGTGTTTGGTTTTCGGTCATCTGGTTTTTTTGTTTTTTTTTTGTAATATTTTTTATTCGTTCAATTTAACATTAAAAATCATCAAAGATTTGAATGAATAATAAGAAATTTGATTTAAGAAATATGTTTGTTATATGAAAAGATCTTTCCTGTAATAAATAATATAAAAGTTATTTTAACGTCTGCCGGTTGGATGTCTTATCTAAAATAGATTTTAAATATTATCTAAAATAGAAATGAAGAAAATATTTATGAGCTTAAACGTCAAAATTAAGAAAGTTCAATCTGGTGGTAAGAAAGAACGATGTTATTATGTAAAAATCAGATTGGGAATATTTTTACAAAGACTTTTCCAGAATTCATTCGTTCTTATTGATTTCGAATTTGCATACCATTTAAAATAAACATCAGTGTATTTCCTTGAAAACTTCTTTTTCTTTTTTCTTTCAAATCATAATTCGGATTAGAAACATCATTTTTCTTTCGTTTGATTAGAATCCCAGATAAACTAAACGAAGAGAAAATTATTTTTTATTCTTATATTATTACAAATCTAAAATGTTTCTTTGAAATAACAAAAATAGAAAATAAGAAAGAGAAATTGGAAAAAATGTAAGCATGCCCACGTTCTAATATTTCCATTAAATCGTGAATACTGAAAGAAGCGAAATTGTAAATAATTTTGAAGTTCTCTCGTATAAATGGGTAAGGCGTTTAAATTTTCCTCCTTAATTCCGTACATTCGTCTTCGTAATAGAAAGGGATTTTTTGTGTGTGACTATGTCGTGGTAGGAAAAAACGATGAATCCTCGTTGGAAACTAAACCGAGAATATACACATTTCGATTCTTTTCTTTTCCTTTTCCAAGATTACAAATGTATAATATGTGTTCTAGTTGTGGTTTTTATTTTTAACAAAATTTTTTAAACAACATCTATATCGTGTTCATTTCGTATAATTATTATTTGTTTTTTAAGTATACATATTGAAATATATAATATACACAAAGTGAGAGCAAAAACCGGTGGAAAATGTTTTTAGAATAAAAGATACGTGTAGCAATAAGATAATAATTTTTCAAAGAAACTAATTTGAACTTATTAATCGATCCAACTAGTTGATACTTTTTCTCATATTTGTTTTTAATAATTTTAAAATATTCCTAACAAACATTCAGAGGAAGAACGCTCTTACATTTTTTTCCCTCCATCTTTAGAAATAATTTCATTTCATTTCATTTCATTTCATAAGCATTTGGAATATTTTTCTTGTTCTTTTTGTTTTTTTTTTTGATTCCCCTTTTAACTAAATTCGCGTGCATTATTTTAATTAAATAATTAAGTAAAATAAGTGAAATCTCTTGAAACGTAGAGATTTTGATATTTTGTTTATGTTACGTACACATAGAGTAATTCGAAGTTTAGGTCAAGGTTCTACCCTTTTTTCTTTACCCTTTTCTAAGTTGACATACGCGTTATCTAAAGATGGATCGAGACTGATGGAGGACACACCTTTTTTTTTTTAAACTGGGCCAGAAGGAAGCACGTCGTTGCTCCTTTGGAAGTTGCAATCTTGGGATAAGAATCATCACGGAATGCATTGGTATAGTAACTGCACGCATACACACATACACGCACACATCAGAAAAATAGAGAAAAAGAGAGGCAGAAAGATGGTAGGTTGAAAGGCATAAAAGAGACATTAAATTTGAATTGTTCCTATAATAGCACGTCACTGGTCACAACTTTAAAAGACATAGGCGTAACTTACCAAAAAAAAACCTAGTTTTTCCTAGCAATTTGAAAAGTGAAAATATAATAAAAGAAAAATGAACAAATTGTGTTGGGAATAATTGGAATATCAAAAGTATGTTTTAAGTATATTTATATTAACAATATATTTTTATATATAAAAATTTAGTGTCACATTTTTGGTTTTTATGGAAACCGAAATTATTCAACCGATTTTAATGAAATTTTTTGTTATTTTGTGTGATATTTTCTAATTTAGAATATAGGATAATTTTTATCGCGATTACTTTTTATTTTTTATTGCTAATTAAAGGTTTTATTATTTAAAGATGAAAATATTGTATAAGTATTATTATCGTCATCATCATCATCATCATCATCATCATCACGTATTTTATGAAAATGGTATCAGAATAGATTTGATACGATCGATTTTTTACTTATCGATAGTTCGATAAAGCTTTTTGCCATGCAGAAATTTTGTACACGCGAAGGTCATCGGATATGCAATGACACATGGTATTGACGTTATCACAAGTAAAGTTAATTTTCCTTTAACAGCTAGTTATATTGTTCGTTACGTTATGAAACGAGCCCTTTCACACACCGTGTGTTCCGTGTGACCATTTTGTTCGGCAATTCTTGAACGCGTTAAAAGCTTTTTTGCTTATTCGTCAAAAATACGAACGCGATGAATATTTTTTTTTTTTTTTAGTAATTCTTCCAATTCTTATCATTCAAACAAAGTTACGAAATTTAATTATTTTATCTCGTTAGAAATTAAATTCGAAGAAAATTTTGGACAATTTCATAAACGTTTAGAAAATTCTTTTTTTTTTTTTTATCAACTTTCGTTAAATATATGTGTCATGGAATAGAATCTTAACGTTTGGTTCATATTTATCGGTAAAAATAAGATGAAAATCGCGTTGAAATCTGAACGAGATCAGGGAGAAAAAGAAAATTCGCCTAAGGAATTCCGGATGTGGGAATCCCTCCCTCCCTACCGATCACTGTTTGGTATGCGAAGGAGTTTGCACAAACATCAAAATTTTCTCCTACCCAGTCGAAAATTTCCTCGTTCGAGGCTGTTTGTTGGGCAGATCAGCATAAAAATCCCACCGTTTATGGTCCGTCTCTATAGCTTTTTTTTCTTTTTTTTATTCGGTCAATAGAAAATGACGGAGAACGGGGGTTAGAAGGAAGGGTGGTAAGAAAAGGGAACGAGTAAACTATTTCGTTTTCTCAATGGTGATGTCAACAAAGTATTTACTATTTTTTTCTCCTTTTTTTCAGAGAGAGACTTCAATAGCGTACGATATAGTGAATAGAAAAAAATAAATGTTAGTATGTCGATGGAAGAATTAGGTGAATGATCGATAATCTTATTTACGTTCGATTGAAATCGTATTATTTATGAAACGAGATAAAACGCCCTATCGAGTGTCCAAGATAACAAGCTTGACTTTTTAATCTAACAAAATTGAAATAATAATAATAATAATAATAATAATAATAATAATAATAATAATAATGAAAGAAGAAAAAAGGAAAAATTTATGCGTTCAACAAAGAAATAAATCAATTAGAAATCATTTTTAAGATATCAGAATAATAAGATAAATCTTACAATCAGAGTAAAATGGAACAGAATTGATAATTTATGAATTACTTTTTTCGTTGTTAATCTTTCATTTTTCTTTATTATACTTATTATTAGAATTATATTTGAGTTGCGGGTCAAAGTTATTTTTGGTATGTAAAGAGACTAAACAATGAATTTTTCACTCATTCTGTGAGCTATGTTTGCAGAATTATTTTTAGGGTTAAATAGATTATTCGATGTAAAACAAAATTTATTAAATTATGTATTAACAGTAATCCTAAATCTATGTAAACGAAACATATGCTACAATGTTATTTTTATTTTCATATTAATGAAACAATTAATCTTGATCGATTTATTATGAAATTTAATTTTTTTTTTTTCGCAATTAATACAGTGAAATATTTTTACCAATAACATCCAACTTATTGCACGAATCTTTAGAATAAAAATAGATAAAAGAAATCATAGAATAAAGTTCACACTGATGAAATTATTTCCCGAATGGTGTTCATATAATCAAATTGAACGTGACATTTTATTCTCTACGTTTTTAAACGCTTATTTATTCTTGTATTTATAATCTATACCATTTAATACTAACGTAACATTTCCTATATAGCATTAAATATGCAAAAAAGAAAAATTAACAGAATTAATATAGATTTCTTTGACATTTCGTGATACGATTCATAGACACACACACATTATATATAAGGTTATATAATATAAGTTATCATCGGTTATGTACATTATCTAAATTTAATGTTCTCGTTTGGATATCATGTTAGATAGGTAAATAAAGGCTTTACAGATCGTTCACTGACGACTGTTTCAGACGCGTTTGATGTTGCTTAATGGCAATGCTGTAATCGAGTTTGCTGTCATATGCAGCATTGTGCACGAGCGCCCGCGCCCGCGCTCGTGCACCTTCTCTAGACTTTACTGAGTGAGTGTAGAATCATTCTTCAGTCTATTGTAAAATGCATTCGCGTACTTGTGCACGCTCATCCGAAAGTTTCTCCTCGAAGGACGACGAGGACGTATCAATACGTGTCTTGTCTTATTCGGACCTTATATACTTACTATTGGGTCAAGTCGTTTTTGCATTTATTGTGTAAGTTTTAAGTTTTACCGATGTCGTCGTTCAGACTTCTATTGTCTTTCTACTCGAATCCTCGCATTTCTACAAGAATCATCCATTTATCTTACTTTTTTTTTTCAATTTGTTCAATTTGTTTCCGCATTTTACTATGAGACACACAAGGTTTTTCGTTTAAATTCATTCGATTTACGATACGGTCATTTGAATTTACAAATTCTGTTTATTTAATATTTATTTATTCGAGTCTTATTCTTTGGATTCAATTGGACGGATACTTATTTTTATTTTATATCAAAAATATAATGATAAAATATATAGGTTGTTGGAAATGTTTATAATTAATTTAGAATAAATGATGTAAACGAAGAGAAAAAGATCGAACGTTGAAATAAAAGTCATGTGTTTTCTTTTGTTTTGTTTTGTTTTTTTATTGTTTGTTTCGTTTAGGAAGGAATATATTAGGAATACACCTGTAAAAAATAATAAATAGTGTTTACGCGTAGACGATTTCCTTTTAGACGGATGAGCTGGGGTAATTAGTAAGCACCGTCGGAACGGATAGGTAGGTGGAGATGGTGGGAGGATAAGTCAAAAGGAGTGGTGGGGGTAGCGCGAAGCTAGGAAGTCGCGTGCGCGCGCCACACTTGAATCAGTGAGCAACGAGCTCTCGTCGCGTAAATATCGTTGCGTCGCGATTCTTTTTTCATACCGTTCGACCACGTGCGTGAATTCTTATCCTCCTTACCTCACCTATTATATTAATACGACATTCTCTTGTGTACAAGTTAACGTTTCAATTCTTTCTCTTGCCAATTTTATTTTTCATCTTAAAATATCTATTTTGTTTTTCTTCATTTATTCGAACAATCCAAACGTCGTCGCAGAACGCGTTTGCTTCTATCACTTGGAGGGAAGAAAGAGGGAAGAAAGAGGGAAGGAAGGATTGCGTGACAGAAAAACGGATCGAAACTTATTACGATTTAAATCGAATCAAATCATATCAAGGTAGGTATGTAAAATTTTCTTTTCTTTTTCTTTTGTTTCTTTTTCATGTTCTTTTACGTGAATATTTCGAACTCTGGAAATATAGTTCTCAAATAACTTTATTAAACGTTTATAAACGTTTGACAGGGACTCTATATGAAAATTGAATCTTCTTTATTAAAGAATGACAAAGAAGGACGAACGGGTTAATGAAATATTAACGATATCGATCAGATCGCGTTGAAGAAGAAGTAAATCGTTAGACATACGTAAATTCGAAGTTTTCTTGCTTGATTGAAATCGAAGTAAGTTTTGTTTTAAATTAAAAACCAAATTTTATATCCTTTGCAAAGTTTAGAAATTGTATGCATATATATATATATATGTATGTACTTATGTATATGTGGCAGCTTTTTCTTGCTCGTTGACCCAGGAGAAACGGTAGGAAAGTTTATTCCATTAGCTGCTCTTGAGCGTGGTACGGCTGCTGCTGTTGCAGTAGCAAAGAAGGTGGTCCGATGCGAAGAAACGTCGAGCTTTTAACAGTTAATATTGTTTCCATTCTCTTTCCACTATAACTCCTCGTATACTGTCTTTCGAATAAAAGTGGTGTTCGTTCTTTGTGGTAACACCCTGTGTGTCGTCTATTTTATTTTTCTCATATTTGAACACACATAAGGACAATTATACATATAATATTCTTTTCAAAAATAAGAATAGTTGTAACAGTTTTGAATAATTCATCGTAAGTTAAAATAAACATATCGTGTAATTTGTCCGATATTATTACATCCGATTGTTTAATATTTGTATAACGATGATATCCTACAGATTACTCTTTTGAAACGTTTGTACAGTTACTTTTTGGTTAAAGCAATGAGAGAAATTGGGAAATAGTTTTGCTGGAAGTAGACTATTTGGTTAGCGCGTCGTTTCATCTTCCGGCTTGTTTAATTAAACAATAGTCGTTGACGGAAATGGAGCGAGAAGATCGCTCGATTCACCCTTTTCCTCTTTTTTTCCTTTTTTTTCCCTTTTTTTTTCCTCCACCCATTCTCTCCTCCCGCTCCTATCCCATCCCATATTCTCTTAATGTGTATACGAGAGTTAGATTACTGTTTTGTTGAAAAGCAAATAAAAAAAAAGACATACCTATTTTGATCAGTTTGACAATAGGTTTACGATCAACAACCTTCATGCTTTTGATTTAGTATACTTTATATTGTCACGTGATGGTTACGAACATAGTCGTAAAAATGTGTTTCTTTTTACTCGTTTGACTCAATTTATCGTAGTGTGTTGATGAGAAACTAGTTACGTTGTATTTGACAATTACCCATTACCCGCCAATGCCCTTTTTTTGGAACGCATTTTCAAATTTATTTTCTTTTTAATAAATGCAATTTTAGAATGAAATGTATTCGTTAAAATTATAAGATTATCAGAAGCACTTAAGAAAAAAAAAAAAAAATAAAACAATTGTTACAAAAATAGTTGTATTTGGTTAGTATGAATATCATTATAGAGTTAATTTAATTTTTGTTTTGCATTTTCGTAGGGTGTTGGGTAATGGGTTAAAGAGAGAAAGAAATAAATGGAGGGATGAAGGGAAGGAGGAAACTGCGTGGGTGGTATTTTCAGGGCCGATAACGGCTCGTACGAACGAAAATTCAGTGTGAGTGCTTTTTCAAAATAGATACGACATCAAAAATAGTTCATGTTTGGCCCCAAGTCTCGAATGATCCTATTTCTTCTCTTCTTCTTCTTCTTCTTCTTCTTCTTCTTCTTCTTCTTCTTCTTCTTCTTCTTCTTCTTCTTCTTCTTCTTCTTATTCTTATTCTTATTTATTTACAACAGAAGATAGATTCTTTTCTTCTTTTTCTTGACAGTTACCAAAGCTCGATGATAAATAGTTGAATTTATTCGTAGTGTCGAAAATTTGTGTGTTTATAAATGAAAATATTAATCATTTTCAAAAATGAAAATTAGTTGTCGTACGTTCATTTTGTAAAAAGAAAGTTAATAGAGAATCTTATAATTTTTTCATTTATTTTTATTTGTTCTATTTGTGTGTGTGTGTGTGTGTGTATATATATATGTATGTATGTGTGTATTTTGTATATTTTGTTTTATTTTTTACGAAACACAGGAAAAATGTACTCGTCGACTTTGTTACCATTCGTCACCTGGCCAGGGGAGTGAGAAGAGAGAAAAGTTTTGAACGAGTCGACTAGATTAATTATTAAAATCGATTAAAACGATTTACGGTGGTGTTGCTCGTTTTCCAGGGGTAGACCTGAATTTTCTCTTTCTCTCTCTACCACACTTGCTCGTTTTGTATAAATATATCGCGAAATTGGTGAACACTATTTTCTTTCTTTTTCTTTTCCCCTCTTTTTGTTTTGTTTATTCTCTCTCTCTCTCTTTTCCTTCATTTATGAGAAATACGATGAAATTCATAGACCTCGTTCGCACTCAAGTTTATATACGTTATTTTTTTTGTTTGACAATTTACCGATATTAAAATGAACTTTTAAACATTTACCGAAATTCGACGATTTTGAAAGATAAAATTTGTTGAGCTATGACATTTCGTATCTCATTTTATCTAAATTTGACTCTATTTAATTAATATAATATTATTTGACTATTATATGTGTATATTTTTATGTTTTTTTATATTTAGAGTAAGTTGTTGGCATTGCATCGCATTTGTTCGCCCTAATATCGGCAAGCTGTAGGTGGAAGAGATAAGACCTAATCAAGGAATGCCGTTTTATCCATGCTAAACGAAGACACACTGCGACTCGTTCGGAAAAAGAGAGAGAGAGAGAGAGAAAGAGAGCGAGAGATGGAGGGAAAAAAGAAGAGAGGTGTAAAAAGAGATAGAAAGGGAAAAAAGGAGAAGGAAAAGGCTTGACGGAAAATACGTGCCTGACATAACAAAAGAAGTTTAAATTTACTCCGAAAGAATCCTCGCGGTTTATCGTTGCAATTTTATCTTGGCCTTTGTCAAAGGTTATCTTCTTTTATATCTCTCTCTCTCTCTCTCTCTCTCTCTTTTTCTGTACGTTCGTCTGTCTGTCTGTCTCCGTTTCTTCTCTGTTTCAATGATTAAACGAATTTGATTGTACTCTCCGATGAATTTTATTCGTACATTTTCACTCATCTTTCTCCAATTTCTACGTTCTATTTCTACCTTTATCAAGATTTAATTAGAAGGAGTAGAGTAGATGATTTTGAAAAAAGAACAAAAAGAAAAATAGACAAAATGTCAAGAAGAAAATTGTACGAAGTTGTTCATTAAATGTTTTTTCCCCTCCCATGTTTTTTTTATATATATATATATATATATATATATATATATATATATTTTTAACGATTACGCGATTCTTTTTCTTTGTCTTTTTATTATTATTATTATTATTTCTTTTTGTTCATTTGCAAATTTCTTTTCAATATGTTTTTGTATAACGAACAATTATCGTTTATGCAGTAACGTAGAAGTTTATCTAATATTTCTCTTTTCTCGAAATATATGTCGTTTAAAAGTACTCCACACACAAAATTTATTTCCAAACTCGTCCTTACCTTACGGAATTATGAATTGTTTCAAATTGGTAATCTGGGCAATTTTTCTTTGTTTTTTATAGATCGTCCGAAATAATAAGAATTTTGGCAGAATATGAGATCGATTAATTAATTAAATTGTCTGGGGTAATCCAGATTATAATAGAAATTATTAGTCAAGTGTTTGATAGTAGATTATAATCAATTTCGAATGTATTATAATAAGTTTTGATAAAATATATTCATGCTTTTCATTCGTCGTTTGAGGATTTTTCTTGTATTTTTTATTACGAACAAGAAAATCGATTGAAAGAATAGTTGACATTTTTTTCTTTTATTTTCTTTTTTTCTTAACCAATTACATGAGCTCAAAGTGAATTTATAAAAAAAAAAAAAAAATAAAAAAAAAAGGAAATCATAAAGCGATCGTTTTCATCGTCAAATTTAATTGGCGGCAAACGTAAAGAAACAGAAAAGAATTATTGAAGAAGGTGGTTGGTGGTAGGGAAGGAGAATGAGGAAAAAGAAGAAAAAGAAGAAAAGGAATTCAAAGGTTTGCCCTATAAGAGTCATCGGAGTAAATTGAAATGACACCGCTTGTGTTTACGGTCAATTAAAGAAGATCTCCATTTGTAAAGCTAACCAAAGGTCGAGTACCAATTTGCACTTTTTCTATATATACATATTCCAGTACCATTGGTTTGCCCCGAGTATCACTCGACAAATCTATCCTTTTTATTTCTTTTTTTTTCTTTTTAGCATATATTTTCATTTATGTTTACGTTTTAGGTATATCTTAAACATTTGCATTCTTTTTAATTTTTTCTCTCTTTTTTTGTTTTTGTTTGTAAATCGTTCTATTTAATTAAATTGCATTTATTTCGTCAAGTTGCATTGTTGTTCAAAAATATTCATTTTATAAAACGTAAAACGAGTAAATTAATACGACTCCATGCGTTTGCATATATTTTTAATAAAGATAAGATCGATAAAATACAAGTCAGATTTACTTCTTATTTACAATTAGTCTTTTTTTTTTACAGTGGAATATGTTTTTCAAGGAATTGGATTAATGGATAAAGTGTTTTAATTCGAATCAAAATTATATGCATATATTTTTTAATTTACTGTAATAATATATTTATATAATATATACTACACACATACAGTGAAGTTATATTTTAATTGACGATAATAAAATATTTATAGTGGTTAAAAATGCATTAGTTATCTCGAATTAGAAATGCTTTTTACGAGGGAAAATTATTGAGCGGAAATGGTAATCAGAGGACGAACGTTTCACCCTTCCTTTCCCTTCCCTTTCTCTTCTCTTCCCTTTCCCCTACCTTTATATTCTTACCTTAGTTTCGTTGCACGTGTTCTATGTTACCTTGGTCGTTAGAAAATCATGGCTTTTCTCTCGACACACATACACATACAAACGACTGACGTGAAAATAATTAGACGACTTTCGATAATCGATTAAAACGACGTTCAATCGAAATCATTCAAAAAAGAGGTCAAGAGCGTGTACCGGTTTAAAACGACGTTTAATATAATCTGTTAATCATGAGAAATATGTCTGCTTGAAACCAATCCCATCATCAATTTTTAAATATATCGAAATTTATTTAACATGGCCGATTCGAATTAATTGACAACAACAAAAAATGAAGAAAAATATCATTACGATGAGATATTAAATGTTTATTCATTTCTATCATTATTATTATTATTATTATTGTTATTGTTATTGTTATTATTATTTGAATTTTATTGAAAAGTTTATTTAAGTATTAACGAGTTTGAATAGCTCTTTCATCGATTTGAAACCATTAAAAAAACCGATCGACCAAATTATTTATTCATGACGCGTTACGTGTATGTCTTTCTTTCTTTTGTTCATTACACATAATGCTAATGCACTTTTATATGCTAATCATTTTCACGAGAAAATCTATAAATCATATTCGTCATATTTATTATTATTATTATTATTATTTTACCATAATATATTTGTGTATGTGTTTGTGTTTTTTTTTTATTCGTTTTAAATATAATCTCATAAAACGACAAGTTTGTATAATGAAAATTGATCGATGACGCGATAAAAAAATAAAAAGGACACAAAAAAATATATAAACAAAATATAAAAAAATAATAATAAAAAAAAATATAAAAAATTCAAAAAGTTACAAAAACCCATCGATCAATGTACAATTTATCGAAAGCATTGAATTTAAATGTCGTGTTGTTGGACAATTTACGTTTTTTTTTCTTTTTCTTTTGAAATTTTCTTCCCTTTACGTACATTACGCACGAGAAATGTTTAAACGTAAAACAATATATACAAATAATAATAATAATAATAATAATAATAATAATAATAATAATAATAATAATAATAATAATATTAAATATGATATTTTCATAGAAATGTTTGATAAAAAGAGAGTTAGGTGTTCTTATAAAGCGAAACTTGTCTTGTAAAAAAGAACAATTTTCAAAGAAAACTGAATTGTCTTGTCGCCGGCTGGCAAAGACTTGAGAAAGGAAGGAAGGAAGGAAGGAAGGCGGGAAATTTGAATCTTATGGTCGATGGAAATTGGTAAGGAGAAAAAGAAAAAAGAAAATAGAGACAAGGAGAGAGAAAGAGAGTAAGAGAGGGTTATAAGGAAGGGTGTGCCATAAAGACGCCATGGCAGACAGCACGCAACGCCATACCGTATGTAACACACCGTGTTATTATCCCCCGTCTATACGATTCTTCCCTATATATATATAA